GAAAAAAAAACTGTTCAGTTTTCAAAGGCAAAAACGGCCGCCTACGCCCTCCCCTGACAGTGACACTTTTTCGATATTGAGGTGTGTGGGAGGGGTACGGTGGGGGCGGCATGGAGGGGGAGAGGAAGAGCAAGGGCGAGAGAGGGCAAGGGACTGGGCGCTGGCATACCAGGGGGGGCAGGGTGGTGGGCGGCGACCGCCGCATACCGTCCTACGGCGGGGACTATCGCTACGCCAGGGAAGACAAGGGCGTCGAAGTGCAGCTGCTGCTGTTCGAATCGTTCGGCGGGTTCGGAAAGGGGGTCCGTGAGATCCTCCGGAAGGCGGCGAACGTGCTACAGAACAAGCTGACGCGGGCCCAGTACCTCGATGAGGTGACTTGGACCACCAAGAGCTGGCTGGGGCTGCAGAAGCAGCGCATCTCAGTCGTTCTTCACACGGCCATCGCAGAGCAGGTCGTGAATGAGCTTGCCTGTGGCGGGGGTGGGCGGGTGCACGGAGCTAAGTGCCTCGCCACCCTCGCAGGAGTCGCTTAGGCGGCTCCCGTGGTGTACCTGTGTTAGTGCCAGTGCGCGCCAGTCCCGTGCCCAGTGTTGTGCGACGGAGTTTTGTTGTAAAATATTCTTTTTTCGCATAACAGGAGCATTTGAGCCCGAAGGACATCCCGCATACCCGACTGACGTACCTGACGGATACCTGGACGGCATGGGCAGGACGGGTGCTAGGACGGGGCTGTGCTCACTGCTCAAGCCTCCAGGGATAAAAAAAAAGGTGGCTGGGCTCGTGGCCCAAGATGTACAAGAGGGACAGGCACCAATGCGGCCGCCCAAGCTCACAGATAGCCCCCTTGGGTGGCGGCGGCGGGCACGCGCCATATTGCCGCAGGCATCAATGCGGCCGCCCAAGCTCACAGGTGGCCCCCTTGGGTGGCGGCGGCGGGCACGTGCCATTGCCGCACGCCAGGCAGCCGCAGCGATCGACGGCCGCCCACGCTCGCGCGTCCATGTAGTGGATTGCCAGGCTGGTCGCATCGCACCACCGCTGCAGTCCACCGCGGCCGCTGATGTCGTGGAAGCGCTCGTCGTCGAAATGTCGGATGTCGAGCGCCGCTGTCCACAGTCCGGCGGTGGCGTCGGCGGGCCAGATACGACGAAATGGCAGGCGGCTGTGCGCCACCCATTCGGCCACATCACGAGAGTAGACCCACCCGAGGCCCGACGGGTAGGGCAGGAAGAGAAAGAGGCCCTCGGCGAAGCTCGGGCGGAGCGATTTGGGCAGCATGCAGAGCCACAACGACTCGTTGCGCTTCAGCCCGCCCGCACGCAGCCTCTGCACGTCGTCATTACGGCACCCGCGCACGAACCGACCCCAGATGAGGTGCGATGTCGGGATCGGCTCGGCGCGGATCGCGCGGAGCAGCGCGTGCACCCGCACGTACGTGTCGTCGTGGATGCGCATGATATAGCCCGCACGCGGGTGCGCCTCAATCGCCCAGCGGAGCAGTGCGAGCAGCTTGCTGGCCTCGGGGTCCGAACGGCTGCGCGCGGGCACCGCGCCCCCCGGGACAAAGCCGTCGGAGTCGCTACAGTTGGCCACCAGTATGTCGCCGTGACGCCGCATCTCGGCCCTCACGGAGCGGCGCAGGAGCGCGCTTGCGGCGGAAGAGCCGCCACCACCGCTGCCGCCGCCGCCGCCGCCGCCGTGGCCGCCGCCGCCGCCACCACCACCATTGCCACCCATGCCCAGCGCATCTGCACCGAGGACGAACGCGAGCGCAACGCGCTTTGCTAGGTGGTACGACGGGTAGGCGAATGTGAGTGTGTGCAGACCGTGGCGGATCGCGTCGCGGCGCTCCACGTGCGCTGCGCGTCCAAGCACGCCGATGACGAGCTCCACGCGAGATGTCGCGGCGGTGGTGTGGGAGGCAGTGGGCGCAGTGGGCAGGGGCTTGGTGCCGTCGTCGTCGTTAGCGGGTGCAATGCGGCGTGTCGCGGGCCCCGCAGCCCGCAGCGGTGACATGGCCGCGCGACGCATCGGCCACTCCGCCCAAACCCTGCCGCGCAGCGAGCGGTTCGACGCCGCCTCGGCGGCACGGCACGCGACGCGCGGCAACTCGCATGGCGCCATTGCTGCATAGCGGGCATGCTCGACGGCGTGCGGCGCGCCGGCGTCGACTGCGCGACCGCCGGTGTTCCCAGGGAAGCTCCAGGCCGAGCCGTGCAGCAACTTGGCGCCCGAAGTGAGCGAGGCGGCGGACCCATCGTAAAGCGAACCGCACGGCAGCACCAGCTGCGCGCGCTTCGGCAGAAACCGCAGCGCCGACAACTGAATATTCCACGTGCACGGCAGCTTTGCCACCATGGCTGGATGGCGCGCGAACGCCGCATTGAACCAGTCCTGGTCGCCAAACTCGAGGCGCGCGGATGGGCCAGCTGCGCCGAGCGCGCGCCACACCGCGTGGCTACTCACGTTGAGCCAATGCTGGCTGCGCGCGCGGGCGAGGTCCATCAGGACGAGGCCGCCATTGTACGGTGCCGCGGCGTACGGCCTCAACCAATACTGCGGCTTCCACTTGCGCAGACGGATTGCGTCGAGCGCCATGCCGAAGGCGATTGCTGACGAGGCGGCGCGCGCAGTCTCAAAGACGGCCCATAGTTCCGCCACGTCGGCTCGCCACAGAACGTCGGCGTCGACGGCGACAAGCGAGATCACGTCCGCTGGCAGCACGTGCGGCAGCGCCACCTTGACAAGGGTTGAAAAGTCGAGAGCGCTGCGCTGAAGTAGGGCTGAAGCTGAGGCCGGCATCAGCTGCGCCACCGTCTGGAAGACCATTGCGCGCGTGTGAAGCTTGCAGCGCAGCCACGCGCCACCGCATGCGCTCGCGAGAAACTCTGCAAGAGTGGTATCGCTGGCCTCATCCGCCATCACGTGGATTTGAAGAGGCGACGGCCAGCTGTAGTGGTGGAGCAGCGACTTTATCATGACGATTGCCTGCGCGGCGGAGGCGTTGCCGCAGCCAGCGGTCCAAACGTGGAGCGGCGTTCCTCTCGCGTGATCCTTCAACCCTACCATCGCCTACGCCACACCGGGCCCCCCCCCCCCCCCGGGGGGCCCCCTTCCAAGCATGTTCCTCTGGGACCTGGTTTCCGGCTCCTACTCGAGTAGCCAGATAGGGGTGAGTGCGTTGGCCTGTCCGAGGGTTTCCTCTCGCACCCTACCTGGTTTCCTTTCCGTGTTTCCTGCTCGTTTCCCTACAACACCCTCTAGTTTCCTCGGGAAACCCCGGGGAAACTCCGTGGAATTCGTCATTTTGGGGGGGCTCTGAGCCGTGTCTGAGGCTGTTTTGGGGCCAAAATCGGCAAAATACCGGGTACTTTGCGGGTATACCTGGAAAACCCCGGTATACCTGGAAAACACCTGGGTATCGTGCCGGCAGGATTGCCGTCGGAACTAGCGTCGGAAGGCCGCCGCCGCTCGAGGACTTCATCACGGGCTGAGAGATTCATCAATGGCAATGGGGCCACACGCTCGGGGGCCTCTCTGCTTTTCGGCGCAGCTACGGCGATTCACGAACATCGGTGCGTGTGGCGTTGGCGAAGGCCGAAGCCATAGGATACGTATACGTTCGTCCCGCCCGTGGGCACTTAAAGCCGTATAGAGCCTTTTGAAACGATAAAGCATAAAGATAGCCGCCCATGGATGTGAGGACGACCCCGGCTAGAAGTCGCCGACCACACCCACATAAAGTACGTTAAGAACCCAGCCTGCACAAAGATCGCACGGGCGGGGAGCTGTTCCTTTTTATACCCTCTCCTATATAGTAAAGGTGTCCGTTTTATTTAGCCCATACGGCTCTCTCTACTCGCTTGGCTTTATGCGCGCCGCAGAAAGAATTTTACAACAAAACTCCGTGCGCAGAAAGAACACCCCTCTGTTCTGTCGGGAGCGTGTCGGAGCGCGGGTACTACACAAAGGCGCGGAAGGGCTCAAAAGAGATGCTGTGATGCATCCCTTCCTAGGAGGGAGAGTGTGAAGTGTGAGTGATACGGACAGGAAAGTGAGTGCGCCATGAACGTGTAAGAGGACGAGAGAGTGCTCTCCTCCGCAGCCCCGCAGGCGGCAGGGCCTCCCTGTTGCTCTCTGCCGTACCGCGCGCCCTGGCCGCCTGGCCGGGGCCGGAGGGGCTTATAAAGCCGTAGACTGCCCCACGTGTGGGGCAGGAGAGGCTCAGTAGAGCCTGATGCCGCGCTCCTCGCACACATCCACCAGCTCAGGCTGCTCCTCATTGTCCACGCGGAGCTCCTGCACGCGAGGGGAGGCGCGATGAGCATTGGGCGGGGGAGGGGCGAGTGGCGAGGGGGGCGTCTCGCGCCTTCAGGCTCGGGGCGGCCCCCTCCTTGAGGGCAGCGGCAAGCGCCTTGCAGCCCTCGTCGCCAATCTCGTTCTCGTGGAGAAAGAGCTTCTCGAGCCGCGGCGCTGCCCCCTCCTTGCCGAGGGCAGCGGCCAGCGCCTTGCAGCCCTCGTCGCCAATCTCGTTGTTCCAGAGAGAGAGCGTCTCGAGCCGCGGCGCTGCCCCGCTCGCGAGGACCTCTGCCAGCTGCGCCGCCTCCGCGTCGCCCCAGCCGAGGTGGCGGTAGAACAGCTTGGTCGCCTTGCCAAACTGCTCCTCGAAGACGGCCTCGTACAGCCCCTTCACCAGCGGCTTGTCGTCCTTGCCGTTGGTGAAGCTCTTCGTCTCCAGCTCCGCCGCGAACGCAGACGGCAGCAGCGGAGGGCGCCGGCCGCCGTCCTGGGTGCAGTCGTCGACGAGGCTGTGGTTTTTGTACTCCTTGCCGTCGCGCATCTTGCCGAGGTCGAGCGAGAGGGCGCCGGCCTTGGTCAGGCTCGCCCAGCTGCTCTCTGTGAAGCACCAGCCGCGGTCAAAGTACTTGGCCACGTTGGTGCCCTCGGCCTGGCCCTCTGCCTTGTGGCCGTCCGGGAAGGAGGTCAGCCGCAGCACGTATGTGTGCGGATGGGAGTAGAGCGTGCCGAGGCAGCCCAGCCCCTGCTTGAAGAGCGCGTTCTGCTCCTCGGTGCGCATGACGCCGTTGGCCGGGTCGGGGTGCTGGTGCAGCGAGCCGAAGTCCAAAAAGACGCCGAGCCGTGCGCCATAGCAAGTAAGGGCCTTGAGCGCCCTCGCGACGCGGGCGAGGTTGGCTCCGATCGGGTCGGGGTGGTCCTTGGTCAGCCATGGGTAGGAGAGCGCGGCGATGGGAAGGTGAGCCCCGTGATACTCAAGGTAGGCGAACGCCTCGACGAGGTCGGCGAGGGAGAGAAAGGCCTCTTTGGGCAGCGCCTGGCGGTGGTTGAGGACGCCGCCCGCCTCGGCGTGGCTGATGATCCACTGCGCGTCGAGGAGGGCGACGGCGCCGCTCGCGAGGACCGGCTCCAGGTCGCCGCCACCGAGCTTGCGCCACCGCTGCAGCTTCTCCTCATAGGTCAGGTCCGACTTGCTCGTGCCGCAGCCCATTGCGAATTCGGCTGCTTCAAGCCGTGGCGCTCAACAGCGGCTTGAGCTCACCAGCGGCAAGAGCCAAACCTGGGGTCTCGACGGGCCCCCGGGGGCGACGGGGGTGCTCTCCGGCCGCGGCGGCCGAAAACGGGGACCTCTAATAACTAGGTCTAACTTTGAAGTGATCCACTTGATCCAAGGGTGCCATTGTGCTCTACTACAAAAGTTGTGTAAGATGCCCAAGTCTCAGACGCTGGGTCCTTAGCGGAGCTGAGTTCTGACGGTGTGAACACGAGCAACCGGAGTGACGACCGGGACCGGGCCGCACGCCGGGAGTGCCCCCGACTAGCAGTGACGGGCGCGGACGAGCGAATGAGAGGTCGCTATCTGTGGAAGATGTGTTGTTAGGGACTAGGACTGCCTATCTCTCGCTGAACGCTGAAAGGAACCTCTCATTCGCTCGTCCGCACCCGTCACCGCTCACGGAGTGCTCCGCGTGCCGCACCGGCCGCCGCCGGCCGCCGGCCGCTCACGGTAACGGAACAGTCTTACTACTCCACAACGTCGAGCTGGATCAAACTGAATAGTGCTCCTGAAAGCCCTCTCTCTGGGCTCTGCCACACAGTAGCAGCTCACGACTAGCAGCTGGTGTGGCTGTATTTGTAGCCATTTTTAGGCTTCAACTGGTCCCAAAATAGTAGCAACACCTCATGAAAATCAGTCAAAAAAGCCCCAAAAAATCGGCGCCTGCGGCGGGCTACCTGGGGCTGCGCCCCAGACCCCCTTGACTGGGGGGACCCCCCGCGAGAGCACCCCCGTCGCCCCCGGGGGCCCGTCGACACCCCAGGGAGCCAAACGTGAGCGGAGGGCGTGTCACGAAAGATTGCGCTAATTTCTTTTTAGCGTGCGAGTTTCCGAGTGAGGGCGTGTCAAGATGAGCGCGGTTTTGTTCTTCACACACAAGTCCCGGCTTACGGGCGTGAATTCTTCTTTAGGCGCTCCGCACTCCTGACGGCAGCACGGCGCTTGACCAACAACGCGAAACCGTGTCTGCTGGCTGCCCATGGAGCGGATGCATCGGCGCGGAGCTCGCCGCCATTCATCCTCTCACTCCCAGCGCCCAGCACACTCACAAACGGAACCCCGCTCGGCCGCTGCTCCGCAGCTCCGAGCTCCCCGCAGCCAGGGCCTCCCTGTTGCTCTCTGCCGTACCGCGCCCTGTTGCCGCCTGGCCGGGGCCGGAGAGGCTCAGATGCCGCGCTCCTTGCACACGGCCACCAGCACCTGTACCTATAGGCTCCCAGCGCCCGCAACAACAAAACAAACACAGCGCCCGCCGCGCGCCGGCTTGTACCGCGGTGCGCGCCGCTCGCGAGCCCGCCAGAGCATGGCCCCGTTCGCGGCTAAACGCGCCGTCTCCCGCGCGAAGCGGTTTCTGGCATGGCCCCGTTCGCGGCTAGCGCGTCTCCCGCTCTCTCTCTCTCTCTCTCTCTCTCTCTCTCTCTCTCTCTCTCTCTCTCTCTCTCTCTCTCTCTCTCTCTCTCTCTCTCTCTCTCTCTCTCTCTCTCTCTCTCTCTCTCTCTCTCTCTCTCTCTCTCTCTCTCTCTCTCTCTCTCTCTCTCTCTCTCTCTCTCTCTCTCTCTCTCTCTCTCTCTCTCTCTCTCTCTCTCTCTCTCTTGCGTGCGTGCGTGCGTGCGTGCGTGTGCGTGTGCGTGTGGGGGTGGTTTACCACCTCCTGCCATGCAAGGGACGTGAATCACACTGTGCCTCCCAGGGCTGCTGCTTGCCCACAGGCACCTTCATCACCAGCTTGAGCTCGTAATAGCCTCCCTGCTCCTCGTTGCGCACCAGGATCGTGTCAGACCCCCTATCTGCTAGGAGCCGGAACCCAGCTGGGACAGTGGCCGGCGAGGTCTTCACTCTCGATCAAGTCGCTCTCCATCACGTCGCGTCGATGCCGTCGATGCCGTCGATGCCTTCGATGCCGTCGACGACATCCGGGGCAAGCGCGAAGCCAAAGTCCAAGCGACCCGTCCTTGCCGAGGGCACGACTTTCTCCTCTCTCACGGCTCGCTTCGGCGGCCGTCGCCACCTGTCGTCGGCGCGCGCACAGCGCCGGTTCGCATATGTGGTTGGGCTCTTTGACGCCTCCTACGCTCCTGGGCTTGAGGTAGTGGCGCATCGGCTGGTTGAGCTGCGCTGCGCCTATCCCCTCTACGTCATGGCCACCGCCAACGCCCACCTGGCCGCCGCCACTGTCGTCGGCAGCCGGTTCGTAATCGAGGTGTGGGCCAAGTCGCCCCGCGCCCCAGCATGCCCGCCTTTCTCCGAAACCTCCCTTTCACCGTGGCCCATGCCTCCTCCGGTGGTGCAGGTGGAACCCGTGGTGCCGCCCGGCCTCTCCTTCACGGGGGGGCGCCACGCGCGAACGTACACCAAGCTGCGGCAGTGGGAGGCCTTCGCTTCGACGCACGACCTCCTCGTCTCGCTC